ATTAATAACTTTCAAAATAAAAAACAATACAGTGTTCAGAAATGCCCTGTTTATTTACAGGTACCATTCATTGGTTCTCGAGGTGAGCTTTGGGCTGAAGTTGCCGAATTTTGTCAACTGTCCATGACTGTTTTTTCTCAGCTCAATAGATTTAATGGGACATTTTGCTGCCTGCCTTACAGTATATAAAAGGGATGTCCTTCCCCATCATGTTTCTTCTGTGATTTATTTATTTAAATGTGGTTGTGGTTCCAACTACATAGGAAGGACATCCCATATATATAGACTGTAGAATCAGGCAGCATGTTTTATTCATTTTATTTAAAATTAAGAGTCCTCAACTGAAAAAAAGCCCTATGGAGTCAGTTGGTTAACAAAGGGTTCAGCTGAGACGGAGCACCTAATAAATTGCAGGGATAAAAGAATTTCAGTAATAACTGGTTCACTGTTCTATCTAGTTATCACTCTCTTTTCCATTTGAAGGCACTTGAGTCTCTATATATTAGGTCCAGGGAGCCATCTTGTGTAAGCAAAGAGATTGTCTCCTTGGCCTTCACGGCATTATTTCTCTAGTGTGTTTCAAATTTTCCTTTACATAATATATATATACATATATAAGTTTTTTTTTTTTTTTTTTTTTTCCTTCTCTCGCTTATTGTGTATATTTGCACAGCTTAAAGGAAAACAGGAAGGAATATATATATATATATATGTGTATAAGTTAAAGAAAGAGGAAGAAAAGGAAAAGAATTTTTTTTTTTTTCCTCCATACCATTAATCTTTCAGTTTTAAATTTTAATTGTGTGTAGGTTGTTTGTGTGACTTATTTATTCTGCAATTTTGAAAATCAAAAAATAGTTCCCAGTTGACCCTGATGAGCTATATGTTTAAAACCGTTGGTCTGTTTGTTTGTGAGAGTTATCATCTCTTATTTCTTATGTTATTTTCATAATGCCTTTGAGAAATAATCCATATTATTTTTTTTTGCAAATATATATATATATACATACACATATACACACACACACACACACATACATACATACATACATACATACATACACAACATGCAAGTACATCTGAGAATCATGCAAAAAGTAATGCATCATAGTTTATTATCTTTAACCACAATATTAGGTACCTCCACTCAGTTTCAATATCTAAGGTTTAAAATGAATTTTTAAAAATGAAAAAAAGTGTTCTTGAAGCTTTCATTTTAGCTTTAATTGAAAGCTAAATGATTAAATTTATTATTTCCAGTAAATAAAATACTCTGGTGTATTTTAAATAAAAATTATATTGACTGGAATCTCAACTTTTTGGTTGCTTTCAGAAAATCAGTAAATATCAACCATTTTGACACATTTGTAAACAAAAGTTAATTCTCAGTTTTAAAAAATCTTACAAAAATAAAATATACTTTTCTGAAAGTTGAAGAATATCAGCTGATTTAAAGTATAATTAATCTGATTTAAAAAAAAAATTATTTACCTTAATTTAAACTAACAAAGAAATGGATTTTTAAAACAAATGGTAGCAATGATTACACGTTTATCACCATCACTTATCACTCATAGATCACTTAAAAAGTGATGATAAAATCTGTCAACACCTTTACTGTTGTTCTACAAATAAATTATCTGTTAAAATATAATTTAAGAAAATGACAGGTCAGTGCTTTTTTTATATAATTTTAAGTACTCAGTAATTTTAAAAATGTTGGAAAATATTCTCTGTAATCTAATTTTAGGAATGTCAAATTTAAATTTACTATAGTCAGCGCTCTTATTTTCTGATTATGTCATGTATGGTCAACCATACTTTCAAACAGTGACAAAAAAAAAATTAAAATTTAATTAAAAAATATTGGGTATAAAGAACTTTTATTGAGCTTTTCAATTTTTGATTTGTAAATATAGTTTTCAATTAATAACAATATCACCTAACCAGATTGAAGCAATGCAGAATTTTAAACAATTTATATTATAAATTATTATAATTAAAATGTAAAAAAAATAAAAACAATTCTTGCAAAAACTCATTAATTGAAAAATTTTTTTCTTAAGACAATAGTGTGCTTAATAAATTTATTAGACAATAGTGTACTTAATAAGTTTTATTTATAAAAGCAATTAAAACCTTTTCTATAATGCCATAATTTTATTGCATTTTTTATTTTACAATTCAGATAAGATTTTCAGGAAATGAGTAGTAGTTTGAAAAAAAAAAAAAAAAAAAAAAAATTGATGATTTACATTCTCTAAGGAGTCCTGCTGTTAACTAATAAAACAAATTTTGAAATTTAATGAGATTAAGTGAGGGGTAATATATGTTAAAAAAAAAAAAAAAAATTTCTCCAAGATTTTCTAAAACAATTTCAAAAATAATTTCATTCATTTGTGAATAAGTCCTGAAAGTTTCATTAAAATCCGATAATTATTTGATTTTTGTAAGAATTTCCAAATCAATGTGTTTTCCACCTGAAGAAAAAATGTATTCAAATACTAATCATAAATATTACATCGACTGCTGACATAAAAAAAAAAAAAAATGATTTTAACTAAAGTTTTGAACGTGCTAGAAAGGATTAAAAAATTTAATAAAATAATAAAAAATACTTTGGTCTTGATAATAAACATTTTGATGATAAAACCTTGCTTTTACTAAGTTTGAGGCCTTTTTTATCATGCTATGCTGTCTTTTTTTCAGTGAGCAAGTGGAGATACCTACACAATATCATAGGCATATAGATATAATAGAGATTGAAATTTCCTATCAACCCATGGTTTTGCTGTAGCTGAGCTGCAGTCTTGAAAAATAACATCTGACAAGACAACTGTCTGCGTAATGCAGTTGTGTGCTATTGAATGCACTTATTGACATTTAAACATTTACCAAGAAAAATAGTGGATATTAGTAGTTAGGTTATGGATTTATACATTTCAGCAGTGCTAACCAGCTATGTTCAAAATGGTCCTGCACATTTTCATCCAACAAAATGAGAGAATGCATTGGAAATGCATATCCTATATAGGAAAATCTACATAACTTGTAACTATTAAAATAAACACTTTCATGTTTTTCAATTTAGAAAAAAAAGTATATTATCAAAAGTATATAATCAGTAAAATTTCTATTTCTCTCCTTTTCAACAACAAAATTATTTCACTTTCCAAACAAAACCAAATTTACAAATAGCCATAATGAACAAGGCATTTTTTTCAAGTTAAACAAAGTGTAGAGAAATGTGTCTCACTTAACATTTCTTCAATTAAAATTTTTGAAAATCTATCAAACACTAAGCCATGGTTGAAGTGTAAGATTTCAGATTCACTTATACCACATTCAAAATTCTTATTATCATTTATGCACTATGGATAATATAGTAATAGTACCAAAAAAACTATGGTCAGATTTCAGTGGCAGTTATTTTATTAAGTCTGTTCAAGGGAGGTAAAAAAAAAGAAAAAAAAGAAGCATGAATCATGAAAAGAGGCGTAGAAAATTAAGTTGGGTGTATAACAAAATCTAACCATCCACCAGCTAACTATTCATATACATGAAGTTATTTTCTGAGTTTAACTTAGTTTGACACAAGTTTACAATTTTGTGGCATTTAGTGAGGCTTAAACTCACTATTCAGTATTAATTAATTAGCAATACTAGCTTGCTGACCATTACTCCACACCAAGGTGTCCAGTTGTTATCATATCAGTATAGCTTAGTTTTGGCACCAAGTCACAAGTATAGGAAACCTAGTAAAGATCAGATCCAGCTTGCTAACCAGGAGATCAGAAGTTGCTTATTGAGAGATCTGAAGTTAATAGAAAAAAAAAAAAAAAAAACAGCTGAAGGCAGTCAACTTTCACAAAATACTGTAGAAATATTCTATTAACAATATGAATGTACCAAAATCATACTGATAAACAAATAATTAGGGCACCTCAAGGTAGTGTAATGGTTAGCAAGCTTGTCTCGCTAGAACAATTACAACTTAGTAGTGAGTTCAATCCTCACTGGGTGCCCCTACTTTCGGCCTTGTGCCACATCTAAGTTACGCTTGGAAAATCACTATAAACAAATGATTACCAATGACTTATTAAAGATGTATAAACAATGGAAAATGCGTAGATTTTACAAAAAAAGCTGTAACTTCTTTAAAATGTTTATTTTATTGTAAATGAATACTTCAACATGTTATATCAATTACTAGCTGTAATTCTATGCAATATATACAAATAACTCGTTACAAAGAACAATTGCAGCTAACAAGAAAATCTGTATTCAATTCCATATAAGCACAAAGTTGAATTAGTTCATAACAAAATTTCATTAAGTAACTTCTCACCATTTGCAACTCAAAAATAAGAGACTGTATAAAAATAGTTTGAAAAAATCATGTTATAATAGATAACAATATCAGATATCAAGTATGTCTCCAAGATATAGAGCTTATTACATGACAAAACTAAATTTGATCATACATTAAATTCAAATAACACTGGTAAGTATCTTTGTTCATTTATTACAATTTTTAAAATTTACAGTGTTTTCTGTTTCTTTTAACCTATTACAGAGTTAGTGTGTGATCTATATTAATATCAAATAAGCATACAAAGTGAACAAATTTTGTAAAAAGAGCGTAGAAGTCAAAAAATAAAAAAATATAGGGTATTAGGAGGAAATATTACTTTTGTTATATAAAATAGCTAAATTTTATTTCTGCTAATAAGGGCTTAAATTGTAATAATGCTAATATCTATAATTTGGGAGGTAAAAAATTGTCATGTCAAGTGTAAAAGAATGGGAAGAAAATTTCAGTCAAAAAAATGTTTATCCCTATAAAAAAAAATAATAAGTATAAATAATATCAAGAGAAAAAAATCTTAGAAAAACACTTGATATTTTTTTTCTTACTGAAACAGAAAATGTTTTTTAAAGCCTCAAAGTCGATCATATCTTGCTAAACAATCTAAAAGAAAACTGGAAGATATACTTACCGCCTGTGTCAGTTCGTTTCAGGGCACCTTCTTTCTGAGGACAAAGCTCACATCTCTGGAATATTGTCAAAAAAAGAAAGAAAAGATAACAGAGTACCAAGGTTTTAATACATGGATTTAAAATAAAATGAATTAAAATTCTATTTACATTATATTATTTCAGAACAACCTGATTTTTATCTTTGATTTGTAAACTTCTTTTAAAATATAAAGATACAGCTGTTCCTGTGATTTCAGACTACTGTGCAATCTGAAGGGCTTAATGCACTACTTTTAAAAATTAAACTCTTGAACACTGTCAAGAGAAGTAGGTAGCTAGGCATTAATTTGATTGGCAGTGATTCTTTTACTTGCTATCATAATTACTGTATAATGATCTTAGAAATATCATTTAGCATTTGTTACTTTTGAAGAGTTAAAAAGGTAATGTTAAAGCAAACTGTAGAGATAATATACTGTATATACTTGTGTATAGGCCTACTTTATGTATAAGCGTGACCCCCAAATTCTTTTGTGAAAACCTGATTTTTTCATATAGCATGTGTATAATGTGACCCCAGCTTCTGAGCAATACTAGTAGGCCTACCAGTCAAATACTGCAGTACAGAGTATCATCCTAGACAAATTTTTATAGCAAATAAATGGTTTTCATTCTTTTTTTTTTTTTTTTTGTACAAAGCTATTCCAAAATGGTAAGAAAAATCACTTGCCATGAAATATCTATGAAGATTTATACACCATACTTTTCTTTTCATTCATAGCTGACTACAGTAGCTCCTTTACCTTAAATCAGCCTCCTACATAGCCCAAGTTTCTTTACTTTTGTTGCTACATGAAGAGCAGGACACAGAGAATTTAAATCATCAATTTGTTTTTGTCAAACAGAAAAAACATTTGGCAAAAACCTGCTTTGAATCGTAAAAAAAAAATGCAAAATTATGACATTATTTAATTAGAAAAGATTTATTTGCTTTCATAAATAAGATATATTAAGGACATTATTGCCTTAAGAAAAATCATTTTTTTGATGAATTATGAATTTTTACAAGAACTGTTTTCATTTTTTAATTTTAATTAAAAATTTATTAAGCTTTAGATCTTTTAAAATTCTGTATTAATTTCAGCCTTTTAGATGATATTAAATGAAAACTATATTTACTAATCATAAATGGAAAAGCTTAATACAAATCATCAAACATCATTTTTAAAAGAATTTTGAATGTTTTTTGTGTATAAACAAGCTGATTTTTGAAAGTACAAGGGACGATACATAACATTATCTGAAAATAAGAGTGATGACTAGAGTATATTTAAAGTTAACATTTCTAAGAAAACAATAAAGCATTAGATTACGGAGAATATTTTCCTAAATTTTTAAAACTACTGATTAGTTAAAATTTTATAGACATTCATATAATTTTTTCATTTATGTTTCACAGATAAAGTCTCCATAGAACATTAGACCTGTTATCAGGGTGTCAACAGTTACTGTTGAGTAAAAAAAAAAAAAAAACCAGCTACTGTCAGGTTAAAAATGCATTTCTGCAATACCTTAAAGTAAATAATATTTGCTTCCAATCAGATTAATTAATCTTTAAGTCAGCTAATATTCCTCGAATAAAGTTTCAGAAAAGTATATTTTATTTTTGGAATATTCTTTGATAAAGAGAATTACATTGCAATGAAAGATGACTAAATAAAAGGGTGCTAATCAGCTATTTTACCAAAAAAAAAAACAAAAAAACTCCTACCCGTCAAATTTAAATTAGTTTTTTGAAATACAACAACGCATTTTGCTTATTGGAAATATTAAATTTAGTCAGTTAGCTTGAAATTAAAACTAAAATAAAAGCTTCAAAAAAGATTTTTCATTTTCAAAAATTCATTTTAAACCTTAGGCACAATAAGGCTTTTTGGGATCCTTTTGTCTTGGTATCTGATAAAGATTTTTATTGCCTCTTCTCCATTCTCCCCTCCCCCCCAAGCACTGGTTTATTTCTCATTCCAGTCAGATTATCAGGGGGAGGTGTGTAGCTGAAAATTTTTACTACTTTGTCTTATTAGTATGCTAATAAGAGTATATATGCAAGAGCATAAAATGAAGAGTATAAAATAATAATTATGTCTATGTATGTATATGTACCTTACACGATTTACAATGGAACTGTAGTCCTCATCTTTTTTGTTGTTATCACGTTTCAGCGGTGGTGTTCTTTGGGCTTCATCAGGTGTATATCAATCCAGGTAACTTATAAAAAATTCCAAACTAAACCCTTTATTTAATCTGTAGAAGTAGACTGTTCTTGTTCCACTGCCCATGTCTCATCTAGTTCTTATTTTTAGTATTACCCAGTTATTATTTGACCTGTTTCCACCGAGTCCAAGTACGCATTACCCATCCCATTGATTGAACTCACAATTACTATATTACCAAATTCAGAAACCAACACTTTAATCTATGAGGATATTGCCCAATAGGATGTTGTAACACCAAAGATGAAGACAATAGTCTGAGTGTAAATAATGATAACCCCTCATTTCAGAAATTCAGACAAAATATATGTGCTTTTTATCACATTTTACAGGCCTTCTCACAAGTTATGTATCTGATTCCTATTATGCTAGGGAATTTGCTGATTTTGGTAAGATCAAATATGGAAAACCTTTAATTCCAAATACCAAAAAAAAAAAAAAAAAAAAAAAAAAAAAAAAAAAGTTTTCTTTGAATATCAGGATGCATCCAATTCCTCTGCAAATTGTCTCTGCATAAGAGGAAAGAAAAGCACAACTTACTTTAATGGTTTTTGAAGTTTATTCTTTTTTTTTCAGTGATATAGAAAGAAATTACAAAATATTTGTTAACCAAGCATTGACTAAGAATTTTGTTTTTTTTAAGTTACTGTCATCATTGATTAAATCAGTGACAAAATCTGCCAATCTTTAACATCCTAATATAAATAACTCACTTCTATATTACATACCTAAAAATTCTTTAAAATAATAAACTGGAAGACATTCTATAACAAAAACAAGCAATATGAATTGTGGAGAATATGAATGAAAAGTAAATTTTCCTATTTTACAGAGAAATCCAAGAAACTAAAAATCTCAGGAGACCTAGTTTCTAGCAAAGAATAGATACATAGATATTTTGGAATACCTGTAGCAAAATGATTTAATGAAAAATAATGAAGAAAAATAACTTATTTTTTATATTTAGATTTTGATTAGATTAGGTATAAATCAAAAGTATTTAACCAAATATTCAAGCCAGTGTTGGTCCAGAACTCCACATTTATTTAGGTTAACAAATTTTTTTTTCAAAACTAACTGCTTCATATTAATGCAAGGTTGAAATTAAAAACTCTGAAGTTATAATAAAGAGAAACAATCTTAGACCTACTAAGCTAATCTATGATCTTGAAAGAAATACAGATAAGAATTCATTATCACTATGTAACAGGGCAGCTTTGTTTTGGGATGTTGACAATCTTGTTCATAAAACAGATTTTAATATTAGCAACTTGAAACTTTCTATAAAATGTCTGTAAGAAAAAATTTCAATAACTACCAGTACTGTTATATAATGCATTTCACATCAATATTCTATTATATCCAAGATTACTAATTATAACTGATCTCTTCATCAATTTTTTTTCAATAAAAACAAATATATTGAAAACAACAGGAAATGTGGATTAAATTATAATCAGTCCCATGACCACGATTATAGGGTCACTGTACAGATGAGCACCTGAGCATACTTCCACATTAAAAGCCAGAGAGGTATTACATTTATGCATATTGTGTCTTGGGCAAGATCTGGTGGAGCCTATCCCTCACCAGGTCAAATCACAGCCAATGTCCAACTTGAAGTCTTACCTTGGGGACAGACACATGGACATTGATCCAATCAGAAGAAATATTCTACCCTCGCTGTAGACTACAGTCTAGGAAGCCTTCCATCCAGCAATGCCACGTCATCACTGCACTAACAGCCAGAATAGGTACGGAGCTATGTCTATCCCATAGCTAGATGTCAGTTGACCCCACAGAAAGGTTCATCTGCCACTTGACAAAGCCTGGTAAGGAAACTATTTTAGTCACTGATGACCCAACCATGTGGCAGGTACTACTAAGTTATACAGTACCAATAGCACATGTAGAGTAACCTGAAATCTTAGTCTAATATTAAATCTCCACATATTTGTTTTATAAATATTAGACAAAATTTTAAATACTTATATCTAATTCAACACTGGACAAATCTCATGAAAGATAACAATGAAAGAGAAAATATTATATGATACTGTAAGAAAATATTAAATTTGCAATTCAAAAAAATTCAATGAATCAATGTCTTCTCTCTTTTTTAGTGGCAAGTTATTAAAAATTTACCTTTATTTTACCAAATCAGTTTTATGACCTATACTTCAAACTTATAATATAACTATTAATTTGAAATTCAAAAGTTCAGGAAAATTGGATGTATTTTTTTTTTCAACTCACACACACACACACACACACACACACACACACACCTGTGCAAAACCAACAGGCTTTTCATCTTATCTATGCAGATAGATGTTGCCACCATTCAGCCAATAAAATTTCAGATAACAACTATTTATTTATCAATAAAACACAAAGTAGCTAATAATGTGATACAGTTTGTGTGTGTGTGTGTGCACGTGATAAAATGACTGATATAAAATATCTGAACAAAATATATGAAATAGAATTTGTGAAAACCAATTGCATGTTTAAAATTTTTATTCTGTTCTCAATGTTTCACTCTTTAAGATCATCAGCAAAAATCTAATGAAAGAATTGTTACCATGACAACATCACTACATAGAAAGATTGTGGTTGAGTAGCTTTTAACAGTTAATAAAATTTTAAATAAATATCTGAATAACTCAATGATATTTGTACATAGAAAAATGTTAAAATAAAATGTAAATATGGTAATTTGATATAGGAAAACAAAAGAAAATTATGATGAGAAAAATAAAGCACATATATCCAAAGAAAGTAGTGAATACATTTAATTCA